CTGCTACTACTGCTGCTCCTACTACTACTACTACTACTACTACTACTCCTGCTACTACTACTACTACTACTACTACTACTCCTGCTGCTGCTGCTGCTGCTGCTGCTGCTACTCTTGCTACTTTTGCTGCTACTGCTACTATACCTATTCTCGTTACAGTTACTAATACCACTGCTACTACTACTACTACTACTCCTACTCCTACTCCTACTGCTACTGCTACTGCTACTGCTACTGCTACTGCTACTGCTACTGCTACTGCTGCTACTACTTCTACTACTACGAGGACGAGGACGACGCTTCAAAAATGCCTGAGCTTGGAAGGCGACCAACACAAGAATGCAAGCAGGCTCGCGTGCAGCTGCAGGCTGCAACGGGCCGGCTTCGGCGAAGCACCGTAGCGCTGACAGAGCTCCTGCCGCTTTGGCCAGCAGGCAAAGAGCGTCAGGTTTGTAGAGTCTAGGTTTGTGGATTCCTGAATTTGTTCTGAGCGTGATTCTGGATTCTTGTTACCTCTTGTTTTCACCTGCCTTGTGGTAGTTAGCTTTGTGGTCACAGCTCCGCTTCTTCTACAGCCTGCTCAAGGCCAGCATTTATCAACGAGCCACACCTCGCAAATTGATTCCGATCTGGCAATCACTTGGCGCCGAATCATGTCAAGTTGGATGGCAGAGCTGACAGACCTACTGTACTACCAAGAACACATACTAAGACCCAGGCCTTGCAGTCCACCACAAACCCCTGGGAAGCCCCCCTGAGCCTGCCTCACAAAGCCCCATAAAACCCTAAGCCTTATCTAAATCGCCAAACATTAGAGGCTGTGAATCCTACACGCCCAGAGAGCAAGGACCGGACAGGGAGATGAGCTGGTGGAGATGCTTCACACCACGGAGGCTGCACAGAAAGCTCTTCTTAAAGGCTTCCGGGGCCCAAGGCGGACTGCCCCCGAAGTGTACAGGTAGAGACCAGGGAGTGCCGGTCTTCTGTTGTAGCTGATGCTCTTGTCTTACCGAAGCTCTTGCGCCACTTGGGGTGGCGAGTATGTTGAAGTGCTAGCAGGGCTTGCCGCCACCTCTACCCTGATCTCTGGCAACTCGCGATGGCGAAATCTTGTCCCTCCCCCTGCTTTGAGTTTCAGGATTTAGTTAGTGTTGCTTAAGAACCTTCGAACCTGCCAGCCTCCTGGCTGAAGAAAGTAGTTTGCTTCCTTTAGCGTGCAATCTTCGTTTGTGATAGAAATGAGGCATTTCTTGTTTTCCCAGCCGGTCTAGATTATGTCCTCTTACATAGCCTAAGTGTCTAATTGTCTCTTGTTGCGCAGGCCACAGCGGATGAATTCAGCAAGGCCCCGAAGGATCCCAAGATGATTCAGCATGCCCTGCAGGCGCGGAGTTGAATCAAAGGCTTGTGCAAGGAGCAATTGCGGAGATACACAGCGCCAAGTGCTGTAGAATTGTCAGGCAAGCCAAGCAGGCTAGAGGCAAAGCAATTCAGCTAAGCAGGGTGGTGCGTTCTGCTGAAACACTCCCGAACAGATCAGATTGGCAACGGGGGACGTAGATTCGAGCTGATGTGTCTTCAAGATGAATTGGCAACTACAGGCGGCCCTGTAAGGTAAGCCCTCCTTGTCCACACAAACTCGTTTTTTGCTTAAAAAGCCGTGACCAGATCCTGCAAGCTTGAAGTCATAGGTGTCGAAACAGATGGTGGACCTTGTCAACGAGGCCTTTGCCTGGGCGGTGGTGCAAACAGCCCCACTTCAGGTTTGTAACAGATGTGGGTTTCTAGAAAGACACGGCTTTTAGTTGCCAAAGCCAGGCAAAACCCCGCTTGTGCACAGTTCACAAGGGCAAGCCGAAGTATGCCTCCGGAACGTGGAAGGGTCGGTATGGAGAAACCTTTGCAGCCCGCTCGTCCAGGTGAAATCCAGTGACAAGGCCATCCAGCAGAGCTTGGCCAAGTCGCTGGGACCTTCTTCAAGTAACTAGCGCATTGGCATGGAAGTTTCGTCGTCAAATTTTGTAGCTTGAGGGCTTGAGGTGGACGGTCTCCTTCGCACTGTTGCTGTTCTACTGTTTCTATCGCCTTCATCAGCAGGAGCTCTTGTTACTTGCAGAGGTTCGCCACGTCACGTAAGCAGGGCCGTTCGACAGTTGGTGCGCAGCCATCGACAAATCGGTGCTCAGGACAGGGGACCCACTAGTCTACGACGACGGGTCCATCAATCGTAGTGCTTCCCGGATTTGCACTACGTCCACACACGGTGGTCTTGCAAGCATTCACTCATCACGAGAACTGCTGCAAGTACAGCTTGAGCTGCCTCGGTGTATACTCGTTTGCCATGCCCACAGTCCCTTCGGGCCTTGGACACTTACACTTGTCATGTATGTCTATGTGCACATGGAGGCGACTGGTGCGGGTAACTTGGCAATGCCTTGCGTGGATAGGTGCTGCATGCGCTTGTGCAGGACATATCCTTATGTTAAACTTGTGTTCATCCCTATGCTCACATGCGCAGGATGCGTACATGTAGCATTCACACACGTGAACCGGATGTGAGGGGCCTCGCACTTGCGAGCTCCTTTGCTGAAGCGTTTGAGCCGTTTGCGCTCCAGTTTTCCTGTATGACCTTAGCTCACCATCTCGCATGACAAGACATAGTGACTCACAGACGCCGAAAGCCCACCAAATGTTTAGGCCAATGGCACTGGAAATACCGGTGACATAAAAGTCCCGAATCAGGTGCATCATTTGTTCATTTTCGGGCATTAGAAAAAGTCACAGCTCGCACCTTCTGGAGAGCATCAGGTATGCATGTAACGCACATGCAGAAGTATAATATAGCTTCGCATGCAGGCATAGATGCGGCACATGTTGTTGCATACCATTGTTCCCCTTGCTTGCTGACATGTTCATTTATGTGTCAATAAAGGCAGCAATTAGGTAAGTCCTGGGAACAGTTTTGGAGCAAGTTTAGATGTACAGCCACGTGCATGGAGTCTAGGCTGCATGTTGCAACACGCCACACAAGCACTATAGAAGCTCTTTCAATCGTCTCAACAAGGGTAGTGGCAGCTGAAGCCTTGGGCCTTCACCAACGCATTTCAGGACATTCCAGACCCGGGTGAGGAGGTCGGGCGTTTGGCCGAGGGCATCGCCAAGCTCGCGCGAAAGCAGCACGGCAGTGTGGGTTTCGGAGAGCATTTGGTTTTGGGTTCTCGGCTCTTTAGGCATGAAAGGTTTGTTTTTCGAAAATTCGGTGTAAGGAATCCAAGCTTGGGCAACCAGGCTGTGGGGTTGCGTGCGACGCGCCTGTCTTGCTGTCAGGCGTGGCGATGACAAGATGCTGAAGAAGACCGAAGGCAAAATCGTGGAGCACATGGTTGCCGTCGAGAAGATGGTGGACGGGGCTAAGGCAGAGATCCGCGGCAGCCTGTGTGCCCCACAATCGGATAAGCCTTCTCATCGAGTACTTCAGTGACATAAAGGGTTGAAGTCTTGGCAGTCCGGTTTCTTGAGTTGAAAACGGCAACACAGCGTAAAATGTATTTCAGGATCGCAGTTTTTTCAAAGAGAGCCATGAAGACGTCGTCCAAATTGCAGGTCTCTTCTTTGACTGTCCTTGTGAACGTGGAGCTACTTGTAATTAGCTTCGTCCTGGAAACAGAACCGGAACTGCTGAGTCTCACTTGTGACCTTCCGGTGTTGAACTCAGCTGTCGTGAATCCTTGTAAGAGTCCTTATTTCCCCTCTGCAAAGCTTCTGCCGGCCTCTAGCCGTGAATCCTGAGTCAAGCTTGCATCTCCGTGAGGAGGCGGAAGAAGTGGGAATCTCGGCTGAAACTAGCAGCAAAGGAGTCACAAGTTGATTATCAAATTCCTGTGACTTGAGACGATAGGCCGCAGAGTCTGCATCCTTTCAGAAGCACATCTGGGAAGATGAGCTGCCCCACGGAAGGTGTTGATCCACGGGACATGCTGGCAGATGAGCCTGAGAACGACACAGCCGCGCTGGTTGAATCCTTCAGCACGGATGCAGCTGGCAGCCTTGCCTCCAAAAGAGATTTCAGCCCATCTTCAGCACGAAACCTAAAATAGGATGTTTTCAAGCTGCTGCGTTTCGCTTCCAGACTTGTACACCATGCGGCCGCAACTACAAAGAGGAAGTCTGCTCCTCACCGTAATGACAGAAATTGGGCAGTGTGGCCGATATTCCCAAGTTAATTCAAATTGTGGTTTCCGTGAGGTACGGACACTGACGACGAGGCCCCCGTAGCAGAGTCTTGGGAGATTGACGAGATGGACGTGGACACTGGCCAGAATGGTCATCGTCGTGACATCAGTCTCGCACATGTTCGACAAGCCTTGAGGTTTCACTTTGGAGCTTCGTGTGCGAAAGCTAAGGACTCCATGGATGCGTTCACTCGAGTGCAAGTCTCAGCTATGGCCACGGCTAAGGACTACATCGTAGACCCTCGTAGGTTCATGTTCGGCTCGAAATTTTGTCAGGGTTGTCCACTGTCCATGGCTACCAACTATCCACACTTCCAATTTGCCTTTGCTGGTTCAGTTGTGCTGTGCCTTCACTTCTTCTTTGGCTTAAACCTTTGCCTCTGCACCGGCGTGACCGTCAGTTGTGTCGCTTATGGACGAGGTGTCCTTTGTCAACCGACGTTCTCTACAAATCACTTGAAGAATTCATCTAGGACGACATCAAGAGCCCGGCCGAAAGCTCCCGCAAGATCTGGTCATATCTGGTCAGCATGCCAGGCCAAGATCTGCGAACTTCTTCCAAGCTTGCGATGCGATGCTTGCGGCGATACTAAGCTATGACAGTATGCAGGCTGGTACTTCAACATAGGCATTTTGGTGAAGATGGCCTAACCAGATTCTTGGGGAAAGGCTCCATTGTAATACTGGTATGTAGGCAGGTCGCCAAGTGAGTTGTGATGAATGTTGGTTTACCACCACACTCAAGTGCTCCGAGTTTCCGGAAACGGAAAATTCGCGATATCATCAAGCTCAAGCTCATTGATCGAGCCGACAGCAAACAAAGTCGAGACACTAGAATAGTTCGGAGCGACAGAAGCACAGGCTTTTTCAGAGCTGGGCAAGTCCGGGCAGGACAAAAGTCTCTGAAGCAATGATCTGGTCTCTTGTGTCAGGATCTCCATACATTAGTTTCCAAAGCTCCGAAGAGGTTTGGTTCGGGCTTCTCCCGAAAACCGAACCTGTGACATCCGAGACATGTGCTCCCACTGCTTACTCCCAAAAGCCATCCACCTGCAATTCTGAATGCATTGTGGCCCATCAATGTGGAATGCTCAGGAAAACGCCAGCACGCTGCAAGAGTACCGAGACTGTGTGGGGCATGAGGTCGTGCTGTTCCAGACATTTGCTTGCAAGCAGATTTGCTTCCGGGTTGCTCAGGTTGAACTGAGGGTTTCTTGTTCGCCGATAAACTTTAATTAGTCCGTGATTATAACTTCGGAGTAGAGTCCAGAGATTTAGATGAGTTTCAGCTTGTTGAAGCTTGCGCAGAAGTACTTCCGAGGGCAGTTTGCCGCAGATCGACACCCCTTGAAGCTCGAACATGTGTGGAAGCAGCAAGAAGTAGATTGTCTGGTATTGGCCCAAGTACTCAGTCGGATTCTTATGAGCACGTCCCGCAGTTAAACTCCAAGAGCACTTGTAGCTTCAACAGCTCCCGCCTAACTAAGGGAGAGCCGAAAGCTAAAGGCAAAGCAGGACGGCGCAAAGAGAAGCCTGCCCTGCAGCATCTTTTGCAACCCATTGTCTCAGTGGGGGAGAGTTTTTTGGCTTGTGAACTTCGGAGAGTCTGCAAGGGCTTCTTGGTTCCCCGTCGGGTACTTGCCGGGGGCCCCCTGGGTCTGTGCTGTAATGACAGGGGGAAGCTATGCGCTAAAGATGTCACTCGATGTAAAATGGCTATGATGCTGATTGTGCTGCTGCTGCTGCTGATGATGATGCTGGCGATCGCGATTGAGCTGGGGAAGGGTGGTGAAGATGCTGCCGCTGGACGGAAAACACCGGTCGTCGTGGTGTGCGCCGATCGCGTTGCCAAGCCCCGGCTTCGGCTCAAAACGGAGGCAAGGCGGCAAGGCTCAGCGGTTTTGGTGTCGAACTTGCGTCTGCAGAATGGGCAGGGAAGGAAGAAGCAAGCAAGAGAGAAAGAGAGAGGGAGAGATGTGAATGGAGACAGACTGTTTTGTACGTGTTGTCATATACCTGTAGGTGACGATGGTTTTGGTGGGGCGGGTCTGAAGTCTCCGAAGCAACTGTGCTTGGGTAGTGCCGACTGTATATGCATATTCACCGAGCTCGTTTAAGATTTGTGCCGACAGTCCTTCTTTGATTTCGCACTTCCAAGATGCCATAACAATGCAGGAGCAGTACCGACAGCAGCTTGATGAAACAGTGCAGCGAGCGAAGAAGCCCCTTTGCCGCACAAGTGTGTGCTTTGAGCCATGCAGAGGATTGAATCCTAAGTCCCCGAGCAGTCACAACACCACCAGGGATTGTAGCTTTGGCCGAGCCCTTGCAAAGGCTAAGATGGGAAACATGAAGGCTGCCTCCTTCAGGCTTTATGCAAAGACCCGTTTGAAAAGTTAAGAGGTAAGCACCACAGAATCCACCTAGCGCAAGGTGAAACTTGCCAGAGTTGAACCGTGCAGGTTTGTCTATGCAGGGATAGTGGAAGGGGAGCACTGAGGAGGTTGAGGCCGAAAAGGACAAGATCCATATCCCCAAAATGCTAAAGACCTGTTGAATTTCACCAACTTTTGTATACACTGCTTGAACGAATTCGGAAGGTCGGGGAGCAGCTTCAGCTTCACAACTCCTTCAAGCCCTGCAGACCTCAAGCAATTGAGCAGAGACTGCTGCCAACCCATAGCAGACTGCTGCGAATCCATAGCTAACTCTGACGCTCCAAGCCATGGACCCCTGCATCGCAGAATCCTTCTGACAAGCTCGGGTCCGCCCCCGTCATTCCTAGCTTCCACACACCAAGTCCAACACTATCGGATGCCAAAAGCGCTCCAGGATGAAGAACCTGAAGAGCAAAGGCATGCTGGCGGCGCACGACGCCCTGCAGACCCTCGCAGCGGACCAGTATCGAACTAGTCAATCCAAGGGCCAACGATTTTGACAGTAGTTGGTGGAAGTTGAATAATAGTCTGTACCATGAATGCCACTCCTAAACCCAAGCCGCTCCTTTAGCAGAGTCCGAGTGTTAGAGCGAACACCCTTCACCCCTAGACTTATCAAAGTGGATCAGAAGAATCCTGAACAAAGAACTTTAAACCGACTTGAGATCACACGAGCCTCCGCTGCGAACCATGGGGGGTTTCGGGTTTTGTGTGTATAACATTTATATATGGTGTATCAAATAGAGTGTGTGTATATATATATACACAATACAGTTTAGTATGTGTTGAATAACATATAATAAAATCCTCTTTCAGGGCGCTGCATTGCTTAGCACAAGTCAGTGTGCCGGACCTTGTGCATATCAACGCTTGTGCAGGCATGTGCATACACGCATACATGCATTTACCCGTGTATACACATGCATATGCAAGTACACATGCATACACATGTACATACCGCTCAACATGCAAACACATGTATAATGCAAGGTGTGTATCTATACTATACATATATACATCATTCGTTCACGCATTTTTACACATACACATGCATTCATGCATACATATATATATATGTCTGTGTGTGTGTGTGTGTTTATAGATAAGTACACATGCACGCACCTACATGCTTTCACACATCTATGCGCGAACGGCTTCAACGATGGATGGAAAGTGTATATGTATAAGTTGTATAAATATGAAATATGTGCAACATTCGAGTGCTCATCCCTGCTGAATACCACGTTGGAAAGCGTGATGCAGAACAGCTCGCACAAGGATTTGGGGCATTCACCGCAATTGGGCAAGATGGACATCCGATCCCACTTGGCCGCTGGATGCTTTGAAAGGTGCCCTGTCGAATGGAGTATGTCAGGACATTCACTGACGGCTGACATCTTTGTTTATGTCGATGTTGCACGGCTCACAATTCTACATATACATATATAGAGATCTATATCTCTATCTATCTATCTATCTGTCTATCTATCTATCTATCTATCTATCTATATGTATATGCAGCAACAGCGCAGACGACAAGGCGAGCCGGCAAAAGCCGGTTGGCAATCCTTCAGCACTGACTCTCAGGCGCCGGTCAGGATTCCAGGTTTGGCTTTAAGGCTGGTACTTGGAGTATATATATATATATACATATATATATATTATGTTGTTTCATATATTCTATGTTACGGCATATACATTTCTAAATATAAGATATCGGTTGTATTACATCTTTAATTTGGTACAGCGTTGGGGTTGAGGTTCCAGGATCGGATTTGGTCTGTGGTTACGGTTCGAGTTTACACGACTGGCCACCATGTTTGGTGCTTGCCGTCTTACGAGTTCCTGACCTACTCAGTAGAATCGGCTCCCGTGCACGAGCAAACATTCGATGGGTGCTGTCGTTCTGCCACATTCGGCCGCGTATTTGATGCAAGCGCAGTTTGGATAAGACACAATTTCCGCATCGAACATCGAACATGTTGCTCGTATGTTGCTTGCAGACCCTATGTCAACAAGACTTGACAAACACTTGGGGCCCAAACAGCCGGAGCCCAGCAGAGTACGTACGACACATACTTGCTGGGCAGGGTTTGCAAGTAGGCCAGCATCGTCGTCGATGAAGGGTTTGAGTCGCAGGGATCGAGAGAAGCGAAGTCAGCCTTCCCAAGCCTTGCACATGAGATAGGTGATACTCGATACGCACGTCGCCGAGTTCCAAAATGGCGCAGTGGACATTGCCAAGGAGGACAGGCTTCCGGGTTTGGGTGTGTATCGCGGTGGTTGCTTTCTTGCATAACGGAACCGTCGACAGAGCTGCTGGTCGTGCTGCGCATACTTGAACTGAAGCACTAAGTAATTAGGTTGCATGATCGTAGGAGAAATGAAGCTTATAATTTTAAGGAGAGCACCCCATGTATATGGAGCCGTCATGAGGAAGCTGCGGCGAGCGGGGACACTCTCTATGCTGCGCATCTGGATGATCACGTGGGTGAGGCTATGGAAATCCAAGCCGGCGGCGAGGACATGAGCACACAGTGTCACATAATAGTTGCTGAGACGTTTGAGACTTCGGTTTGGATCGGCCATGGCTGCAGGTGCCATGTGTGAACAGTTGCTTTGTCTCAGGGTGCGAGCACCCACCGACAGCATCTAATGTTGGAGTTTGCGCCAAAGATCGATCGTACACCCCTCAGCATCGCGTAGCTGCAGTGGAGTGTGGAAGCTCGCTGGGAGCACTGATCATGCAGGGTCTTTCCAGCAACGAAGGACAACATGCGCTTTGACTTTCATGTGCATGTGCGTTTGCTCGGCTGCCTTTCTGATTGTCCGGTTTGACTCGCCGCCACTTTGCCTTCGGATGAGTCCTCGTGATTCCGGCCCCTTCGTATTCAGGCGGTAACGAAACCTCATAGTCCAGCGTCTCTGTGTTCATCTCCCGGCCGCACAGCGTAGCTGGCAGAAGCAATGACACGCTCCACAGCAGCAACTCAAGTAGAAACCAGAAGCCGGTAACTCGACGGGCCCTTGAATCCCTAGAATGTGACGGCGGTGACGATGCAAGTAGTTTCCCTATTTTTGCTTATTCTTGTTACTGCTGTTCTGGCGGACTCTGTGACCCCAGCAGTCACAGGATCTCATGGCAAGAGGTCAAGAGCTTCAACAGGGTGGCACGGCTCCTGGACTGCTCTCTAGTTTCGGGCGCTGAATCGAGCACAGGTTGTTCTTAGACAATTACTACCAACGTTTTGTCGCTGTTGTCCCCTTGGGTGAGAGGGTTTGGGGTGTGAAGGATCCGATCTAAGCCATCTAAGCATATGTTGAACCTGTCGCACGTGCCTTTACATGCGGGCAAACACCAAAGCATGCTTGACTTGGAATGACTTTCGTTTGTCTGCGCTTAGCTGCGGGAAGCACCCAAGGCATGATGTAGGCATTACTTTAGCAGATGCCCTGTAGTCTTCTGCTTCTGCTTGCTCGTGTGCATGCGTGACCTTTGCAAGTTATAGTCAAGAGTATTCAGGAGCACATGTACAGAGTCCAGATGTTTTCGGTGTAACTATCTGCCCTGCCCGGAAACCTGGAACGAGCAGTACAAGGCCCACCCTATGATTCCGCTATTGAGTCTTTGGGCCTTGTGACCTGTGGCCGAGTTGAGTCGTGCACGCTTTGGGGCTTAGAGAGACTATACTGGGCTTCATGTTGAGTGATGCCCTGAGGTTCACAGAAGTGTTTAGCTTGAAAAGCATGCCCAGGCACATCACATGGAAGGATTGTACGCGTGTCCATGCAGTAAGACCTGAAAGGGCCGTTATTTGCAAGTGGATGTGTCGGCGGCCAGACTTGCCACAGGCATATGTGCACCTCTTGCGATTTGTCGCTAGCAGGATGTTGCAGTGGGCGGTTCTGCTGTCAGGCTTCCGCTACTCAGACACTGTTGTCGCAAATTGGTAGCAGGGGTTTAGGGCTTTAGACTTGATAGGTTTTCAGGGCTCAGGCCGGTAGCCCAAAGCTATGGGTCTGCTCCCTCGATGCTGAGGAGCTCATGACAGACGCACAGAGCATCGTGGCGACAGGGTCAAGTTCTTGGTTGAACGTTTCGCGGGGTGCAGGGTGCCCCCCTTAGAATCTTTTTCGTGATAGCCCAAAATCCCATATCTGTGACTAGTATTCCCTGTTTCTCCAGTGGAACATCATGCACAGACTTGCCTGGCGCAGACCGCTAGCTTAAGAGAGAGCCAAGGTTCAATCAACAGCGTTGACTCAGAAAAGGGGGTTTAGGATATACTAGGCCAGAATTGTGTAGTGGCGGTACCTCTTAGTCACCTTGGCTCATCGACCTCAACCTTGGAAAATTCATTCCTGGATTTTCATGATGCTTCGGTGCCCTCTTGTGTCTGGGACCACATCTCTCGACTCTTTGCTCCTCGAGCCTGTGACTCGGAGGTGGACGAACCTCATGCCTCCCACTGCTTAGCTGATCCATGTTGAGAGGTGGCAACCTTGCTTATAAAATTGCGGAGCCCAGCTCGCCACAAGTAGAGAAACCACGGCTTTGGCCTCCGAGGTAGTATGGCCGAGGCCCAGGCCATTCAAGCAGACAGTTTGCAGCTGCAGGCCGGGGCCGAAATGCAGAGCGTAATCCGCACTGAACGGCCATGTTTTAGGGTTCGGGTTTGGTGGTGTTTTGGGTTCAGAGTGACTAGTTGACTTCAAAGTGAGTTGGATGATGCTCACATACAGTTACACTGACTTGCAATGAAGGTCAAAAAAGATGGGTATGAGAGGTCTGCCGATAATTTTCAGAATGTTCAGAGGAGCTTGTGGCCTCTGCTTCAGCGGTCTAACCCAACCGATTCAGATTATTCATACATGTAGGCCTCGTATGAAAATGCTAGTAGACGACATGCCCGGCAAGTGCCTGGCGGAATTCAGAGTATGACGACGTATGCTGGATAGTTTACGTCAAGCAGGAGAAGCAAGTGCAACATCCATTCGCCAGCTGCTGGCGTTTTCAACAGCTGGGCATTGAGCAGAGCACAGTGCGCCTACGAGGTTAACAGGGCAATGGCCAGAAGTAGTACTTGTGTTTGCTCATAGCCGCAGCGAGACAGTTGCTGCAAACGTAGCGCTGTACGCATGATCTTCGAAACTATTAAAGCAGTTCGACCGAGGCCGACATGCAGCAGACATCGCAGGCCATGGAGGTGTCTCGCGGAACTACAAGCTTGAAGCAGGGCCTCAGGTTGGAAAGAGTTCAATTTAGAGTTGTTTTGGCGTTGCTGCCTTGGGCAGCGGTTTGGCTTTTTGCATCTTTTTTCGTTTGCGGATGTAAGATCCATGCACATTCACCGTCTTCCGGATGTCGCACGCCTGGGGTTATTTTGGGTTCATCATCGCATGAGTTTGCAACAACGGTGCTGGGTAGGGCTTACGTAAAATCATCCCAAGAAATCCGAAGTGCTCTGACAAACATCCTTCGAGTCGCAAACTGTTTTGGCACGACCGATTGGTAGACACGGAAGTCATGGTACTGGCAGTGGCAACCATAGCGTGCACGAGAAAGAGGCGTTTTAAATTATCAACGCGATTTTGACTGCCGTCACGTCGCTCGTACGCACGAAGAGCTTCTGTTGCGAGCATCAAGCAGCAGCTACTTGTGGCAGATGGAGATCCAAAAGTGCCAGCAGCCCCCTACGCCTCTACAACCGAGCCAATGTGATCCGCAAGAGATGCTCGGTTCTCCGGGAAGCAGGTTCCCGGAATGGAGAGGACTTGGCATGCTTTGCGCACGGTACAGGGTTTGGAGAGGTTACTGATGCTGTGGTGTTTTGCGGGGCTGAGGACATTTACAGTTTACAGTTCCCACAATATTCCTCAATATCTACGTCGTGTACCCTAAAGGTGAGCATGATGACACCCACATCCGGCAGACACATCAGTCAAACTGTAATGCGTTTGGGCTAACAGTTACACGTCCGAAGCATCTGAGCGCTCGCCACAAAGGCACTACACACGACATCCAAGCCCGGTGCCCGTCGCACACAAGAACCGCCTCCGTGGCACAATGGAGCACTGCATGCCTTCACACACTTGAATTTTAACTCAAGGGCATTTGGTAGAAAGCCTCCCTTCACCGTTCAAGGATAAACCGCCTGGCCAATGAAATGGATGCGCACCGGGCGGAAGCAGAAGCCACTGCTCTTCAAGTAGTGTTTTTAGGGGCTGGAGGCACCGTTTTGTTGCCTCCTCGTCGAATTAGCTCAGGGGGTTTACTGCAAGCGAAAGTTACCGGGCTTCGTCGGTCGTCCGACAATCACTCGCAGTGACTCCAGGCTGCTGGGATGATCTGGGATGTTCTTGATGTCTCTTGCTTGGTCTGAAACACGAGGCCCTGTGTGGAATCTCCAGGACAGACACAAGCCAAAAACAAGGCAGAACCCACTGAGCCTTAAGACTGAAGACAGAATAACCAATCTCTGCGCCGCCGAGTCCCTTGCGGAACGTGGTGAGGCACTCGGCGAAGAGATGCAGGCAGGGCTTCTGGGGTTTGTGTGGGTTTCTCGCACAGGCAGGTCTCTTTGACATGATGCACAAGTTCCGGCACAAGCCCGCAGTCTCCTAGGTCCTATGTCCCAGAGGTCCTGGTACCTGTAGCAAGGCTCGCCCGGACCCAAATGCATTTAAGTACTCATTTCCTGTTGCACATCGAGCGATCTTGGATGTGTCTCACCCTCAACCGACCACGCACCAAGAGCCTCGCATGGCTTGTCGGAGACTGTTCGTTGCAGACCCACATGTCCAGAATCGCACAGCATGAATCGCCCGAATCCCGCACACTGGGACTTGCATCATGCCCAGCTCATGGACAGATATGAATCTTAATTCATTGCCCTGCAAGTCCGACTATGAGAGAAGACAATGACAGCACTGTGTCGTCAAGAGTACTTGTACTGCCATGCAAGCACTGAGAGGATGAAGATGAGAAGGACAACACGACTCGGTCAGAACAGTCATATTAGCGTCCTACAGCTACTTCTGTCATCCGAAACCGCAGGTTAAGCTTTAAGCTGGCCCTAAGCCGAACCCCCAACTCCTAAGCCACAAACTCCAGCAGCGTACCATCATGCGCAGGTGCACTCGGAAGAGGCCCAGCGTATGGCGCAGGAGCCCAGACGCCGAAATTCATGAGGGCTCAGGCTTGGGGCTGTACAGGTTTAGGGCTTTTAGGCTTATCAGTGATAGTATTGGTCCGTCATGGGAACATTTTGAGACACAGAGATACCAGAGCCTTCAGTCTGCCCGGGGCTCTAATCTGTGATGTCAGGTCTTCCTTTGAAAGTCTTTGGCTTGGAGTTCAAGATGGAAGGGTCTTGGAGTGCTACAAACAACTCGCATAGCAGGGTGCAGGGTTTATGGAATAATGTGACTTCAGAAGCCGGTTTCAAAAGAGAATGGTATGCAGTGTTTCTTTGGGTTGGTTAGTCGTAGAGAGCACGAAATTGACACCTTGCTGGAAGCTCCTAAACTCACCTTGTTTTTTTCTTTTTCTCCCACTCTCACATACACAAATTTTGCTTGCCGTGGCATGCAGTCCGCGAGGACGCGGAAGCCATGGCCGCCGATGCAGAGGAAGATGGCCGTATCCAGCGAGGGAAACTTCAGATTGTTTGAGATCTATTTGGCCCGGGGTTACATGAAGCAACTTGAAGGCTGTGTCTGCATTGATGCTTGGCTCTGTTTTACCGAAGGGCCTCCAAGTTGAGCGATCTCCCAGTCGGATGCCGAACAGTCTGCATGTGGTGTCTGCATGGGCTCCAGTATAGAAGCCCGTCCACGGACAGGAGTTAAAGAATCGCGCTCTGGTCCTCAAAGATGAGGCGCGAGATAGATGGATTCTGCCCATTTTCGCTGAGGCAAAGAAACCCGGAGGAACTGGTGGCTTCAAGTGGGTTGCGGCTAATCGCCACACTAGACTTCGCCCATCCTTTTACATAGCCTGACGGCAGGCACTGGCAGACCTGACTTCCAGCGAGACGCTGAACGTGGCGAGATTCAAGTTGGGATTGTGAGGGTGCTTGAAGAGATTGGGCGGTGAGGTCGGCGTTTGTTTCGTGGGCTGGGTCACTGGCATTGCTTGACGAGCAATCCGCTCGAAAGGTATTGAGGGAATCTGAGAAAGAGGTTCGGTAGAGACAGATGAGCGACCCACTCGAAAGGGTTTCTTATTTAAGATGATTATAAGAAAGAGGAGCCGGGCGTTCGACTGCGACTTGATTTCAGATAGGACCAAACGTTGGAAAGTGATTGGAAGGTAGAGACTGAGGAGCCAGCTGCTTGAAAGGTAATCGATTTGAGACACGGGAGCAAACCGCTCGAAACGGCTTGCATGTTGATACGAAAAGAAGAGGCGCAGACCCGAATTCTCCGAAGGGATGAGATCTTTTGAGAACGGGGGGGGACGACATTCAACCGGTCGAAAGGGTTCAGGGAGAGTTTCAGGAACAGTATGTGCGGTCAAAATCGTGCGGAAGAACTTGAGAGTCCATCTCGGAGAAAAGGAGCAGACCTTGACACACTTAGTAAGAGGAGCGAGCGGCTCGCAAGGGAGAAGGAAGGGCGAGATGCTCGAAGGCGAAAAGAATTCGTGAACAAGGGACAGGCTATGTGAAACAACAAAGACAATTTCGAGTCGAAAGTAACGATCCCTCTGCACGAGGGACCGAAAAGGAGCGATCCGCTTGAAAGCAGCAAACGGCTGGAAAGGACCCATAGACGTATGACGAACATCAAACAGAGGAGCAAGCGCCTCATTCAGGGACTAGGGTCACTCAGACTCTGGAGCCAATCGGTCGCAAGGGAATATTGGCCAGGTTAAGACCGGTTAAGAAACGGGAACAAAACGTGCAAAGAATGACTGGAGAAGTTTGGAGTGAAGCTGCAGCGATTCGAAAGCGGCCTGAAAGTCCGGCGAACTGTCCGAAAGCAGTTGTTTCTTTGCAGAGAATGGAGCAAAGCGACTAAGAGGTTCACATTTATTCGGGCAGCAGGGCATTCAGGAGGAAATAGACTCGCAAGACAACCGCACCGCTCGACACAGACTGGGGCAGTTGACTGCCAGGAGCCAGTGTGTTGAAAAGAGAGTAACGAGCTTGAAGACATCGCTCGATTGGATTGGAGAGAACTGAGACAAGCGTGCAACCTGCTGGAGAGGGCGGCGAATTTGAGAGAGAGAGGGGAGTAGATCGCTCAGCAGTGGCTTGATAGTTTGAGCGAGGCGAGCCCTCCAAGAATGTGACAACGAGAGCAGAGAGCTCGAGAGGGGGAGTGTCTTATGTCTTTGTTGGTGATGTCTGTGGCTATAAGGTTATACATGATGACTTGCTCATACATACATACATACATACATACATACATACAGACATACATACATACATACATACATACATTACTCTGCGGAATGAGACACAGAGTATTGTATATATATATATGTATATATGTATACATTTACATATATACATAGAGTGCAATGCAGGAAGTAGCAACGCAGGTTCATATGCACCAAACAGCAGCAGCACGCAGCAGCTCACCTCTCTCGGCTATTGGCAAGAACAAGTTGCTACAAGCTACCTAGAAATCATCAACCAAGCCCCTGGCACCTAGGATCGTTAGCTCAAGAGTGGCGCCGTTTGTGCGCAAGGCGTGAGCGAGTCTGTAGTTGGGATCCACTGCCTAGGCTGTGGCTTCGGAGCTCAAGGACACAGCAGCCTGTTCTACTGTTGATGGGGCCGTGGGTATGTCTTGAATTGTGAAGTTGGAATAGAATTTCGACTTAATGCCGCGCCTTCCAGGTGCGTTAGTTAGTTTGAGAACTCTCGTTGGCATTGATGCAAGACGTACGTGCAGCTGCTTGGACGTTTGGAGCGAAAGTCTTCAGATTGGCGTCAACCAGCCTGCGGCCTACAACCTGCTGGCCGCAGTTTTCCCAACGGGTTGCAGTGAACGGAATGATCGCCAGCCATGTGACGAAGATTGAAAGTTTCGTTTGATACAAACGAAAAGCCAAGACATTCCTGTACTCTTTCGTTGAGGTGAACGTGAACTCAACTAGTGATCGCAATGATGATAGTATGTCAAGCTTACAACACAATGCACAAAAAGCTGCAGCGACATGTTTGGCGATGAGTGTAGCACATGTCTTGCAATTACGATACTAGTTGAAACAGACTCGTGGTCCGTCCGTTTTGTTCTTAGCAATGACCAAGGGCGCGCACAGTAAGAGCTAGAATCAGATAGAAGCACCACCCGCAGGATTGTGCCAAGCGCATAACTACTCGGGTCTTGGACTTGGCTGCCGAGACTGCCAGGTCCATGACAAGTCAGAAACTTGCCCGCAGCAGAGGTCCAGTGTGTTGATGACTCCTGGCCTCGTAGGACAGTTCCATTTCAGGGTTATGTGTAGCGGGCCAGTGCTCAGGGCTGGAAGCGTTTGTGAGGCAGCCTACAAGGCATGCATGGCGGTTGTGATGCCTTTACTATGATGTGACGCGCAGCATTGGCGCAGATTTTCCAGTGCATATCTTCAGGTTATAACCTGTGTCTATAGACATCTACGATGTAACACCCCCGATGCGGTTGTGAAACTAAGCGACCCCTTTTGATTTTGGGCACCCACGGCCCAAGGCGATAATCTGAACCGTGTCCGAGCGTGAACCCCGACACCTTCTAAATGCCCCATCACATGAAGCTCCCGATGCACCCAAAACCCCTCAACCCCTAAACCCTAAACCTGCCATGCCTGCGTGTGTGAGTGTGTGAGTCGAAACCCTAAACATTTTGCCAGGATCTTGGCCTTGGTCCCTGATCTCTTCCTCGCCTGTCTCGAGGCAGCTCTGGACATCATCACAGGCCACTCGGGGACTCTCATGGGTTCAGGGGTTGGGCTTTATAGACCGGGTTCATGGCTTCAAGGAGTTCTGGGGTTGGCTTGTAGCCTGCAGGTTTCGGCTGGATCATCACAGCTGCACGGTTGACCTACATGCTGACCAAGTGACCTGGCAGCAACTTCGAACTTAGTTCCTGAAGCCGAGAGTCGCGAAACTCAAGGGATCCCCTGAATTTCTCGAGTCGATCGGGCGCTGGCTGCTTGTACTCAGTTGTGTCTCAGCTGTCTCCGGTTCGTCGTCAGTCAGTGTTCAGCAGTGCACATGCTATGGCCCTCCTTCGCACTCCTGCTTCCATCTCTCGTCCTTGATTCTGGCTAATCATTCGTCACGGTTAGTCAGAATTGTGAGAGTCGTTCGGGTGCCTAGCCTGGCAACAGATCAGCCAAGATTCATGCCCGCTGATGCCGTACCGTGGTGGAGACTCTAAGCCGTTCGCGTGGTGCCAATGGGCAGGAAAGCGATACCGTTGCTGTGCTTCTTGTAGCTATTGCTTGCCTCACGGCATCTCTTCGTAATCGATCGAATCTAAGTCTGCTTGCCAGTCGTAGCGAAAGCAATCATACGGCATTGCACCTTGAACTTTGGAACAAGTGTGTCTCACTATCCTGGTAGTCCTCGTCCCCGCCACCAGCGAGAGGGAAGAACAATGATGGTGGTGGGTCTGTGCTGGCTCTGGGCGCAGTAGTCGCGACGGACACCGACCATCTTTATAGCCGCGGGCGTACGTTGTGTGCAGCAGCGATGCAGTACTACAGCGTTGGCATTTGAAGATAAACTCTGCTGATGAAGACCGGTACTGCACGCGCTCTGGGTTCGTCCTCGAATTTCAGGTCAAGCCCGTCCCTGCAGGTACGCCATCCGGAAGTGGAGAGAGTGGCGAGATGCCCGTCCGCAGAAGCTATGTGCCAAAGCACCACAACTGGACTGCTGTGTTAACAGCGTGATGGCCTGGTACGACAGGCTTCGCGGCTGCTTATGTTTAGTTCAACGGCTCAGGGCTACAAAGTCTGAAGTATGATATTGATCTGGTTACACGTTCCCTACACATACATGCCTCCAAGTCGCACCTCTGCGACGGGGCCTGCCGCTGGAGACGTGACGCGCCCATCCCTGGCACATCCGACCGTCCCCCCACCCCGCCTAACCCCCCCCCCAAAAAAAAAAAAACCTGCAAAACCTAAGCCCTATACTGATGGCAAGTCTCGAGGCAAGCTTTGGCGCAGCGCCAAACTGAAGCCGAGTTCCGGGCCGACAGCCAGGACTTGTCTCGCGTGGGTTCACAGGCTTAGGACTTGGATTTCAGGCCCCCAAACCCTAATGCCCTAATACTCAAAACCCGTAGGGATTCACGGTTATTGGGCTTCGGGTTTAGGGTCAGCCTGTGGAAAGGAGTCATGTACCCCAAATGCCCGGAAGCTTCCACTCACTGAAGCCTACCGACATGCAGGATCTGCTGGCGCGAGCTTTGAAGTTCCTGGGCCTGTTTTAAGTGCACAACACTGCGCACATACACTCTCTATCACTCTTATACCTACACAAATCTTCCTATCTTCGCAGTACGTCCTAGCCAGGCGGGAGGCAAAAAAAATCTTCGCATGTACATGTATACGCTTGTGGTTTAGATGAGTAATTAGCCGAGAAACGAAACTAAAGTATGTAGGTTTAGGTGGGGAAGAGAGAAGCGAAACCAGTGCATAATTGCAGAAGCAGTCGCACGACGATTCGATTTGGAATGTCGTGACAATCCAGGAAGCCGAAAATGAAGCAGATATGCTGGATCCTATCCAAAACGAATATCTTGATTGAACACAAGGTATCCGAACTCGTGCACGCCGTGGTCTGTCACGCTTTTTGCGGAGCCACCGGACGACGAGACGCTGAAGGCCTGCCGCAAAGAGGTGGAAATGCCCTCATGCCTTCCATGTGGAGTGTTAAGATTTGTTGACGTTCGTTATTGTGAAGTCGAGAAATTCCTGAGCTGCGGCATGCCCTTCGGCAGAGGCCACTCCAGCCCCCTGCAGCCCTTGGGGAAAGACATGCAGCAGCTAGACTCCATGACGTGTTCGCCTCGCAACTCTCGGTCGTGGAGATCACGCGGTTTCTGACCGTGTAGAAGTCCTGCAACCTTCGCCGCAAGCTGTCTTTTCACTGTTCCTACTTGGAGGTTCATGGGTAGTTGTAAATGGGGTTATAAGTAGGGTAACTATACATATTAATTAGGGGACTTATAACCCCACTTATAACTATCCATGAACCTCCAAGTACACACCTAAAAAACATGGGGCAGGTTCTGCTGGCTCGCGAGATGGAGCAGGCACTGGAGTTCCAATGGAGCCTCCGGTACCAATATGGCAGATGACGCCGGATCATAGGATTGCAGGATTTAGTAGTAGAATGTCGTAACTCTTCATTTAAGACCTCTATATTTGTATGCGTATGTATATGTGTGTGTGAATACTGAATACAACGTATTTATCTGGAAAGATGTGGTCCGAGATGACAGAGCAAATCTTCCAGGAACCTACCGACCTAGCTACCGAGAAAGCCACCTACCTACCTACCTACCTACCTACCCACCCACCCACCCACCCACCCACCTACCTACCTACCTACCTACCTACCTACCTACCTACCTACCCACCAACCCACCCACCCACCCACCCACCCACCGACCTACCTACCTACCTACCTGCCTGCCTGCCTGCCTGCCTGCCTACCTACCTACCTACCTACACACACACACACACCTGTGTTTCTCTATTAGCGTGTTGTTATTGGTTGTATTCTTCTGCTGAGTGATTCACATTTCTATGTCTCGGATAGATTTGGATAGAGTTGGTGCGGTCTGGGTCGAACATCCTTCAGCGTGTTTGGATCAGATTCTCAGATGAACAAACATGCCCATGCCATGAGGAGACAAGACTGCAGTGAAGCTACAGCCAAAACTAATGATTACTTTCGCAAACACGAAAGATTGACAAACAAGCTGCGAGTTGCAGGGTGGTCCGGGTATTTTCACGCGAAAGATCCGGACCCACCTCTCTCTTTTCGGTGTGACCAGTGGCTGCTTGGCTCATTATCATTACGCAGGTTGTGTTTGCATGATATACCGGTGGCCATTGCTGGCAACTTACGATTTTCGGACTCCCGCAGCAGCTGCAATTGGACCAACTGCAGGCCTCGTTTGTCTGGACTGCATCACAACACACCGCAGAAAGTCGCCAAATGTTGTTGGCCCCTTTCGCAGCATCGCAGCAAGCATCAGTCATCCTGTATTTGATCGAAAGCCCTGCCTCGACAGAGTTGCAGGTTGGACGAGCTTCAAACGGGATGCCCGCCTGGTCGTGGCAAGGTGGATCCCACGCTTTCATGGGATGCTCGAGTTGCAGCATGTTTATGGACAATGAGATGTCAGGGTTGTAAAAACCGCTAACTGCAGACAAGCTGTCAAAGGACTTCGGGCTTGTCAACCGTAGGAGCTCAGGCTCTTGGAAGAGTGACCAGCTGCAGGGTTCCAGCCTTTTCGACTTCCAGTAAGGGGCATCATCGATCTTGCGAGCAATGTTCGTAATACTAGCAGGGGCATCTTAGCTTGAAGTTCTGGTGTGCAGGTCGACCTTCATGATCGAATGGCCGCGGAAAGAGGGCGAGAAGCATGCAGAGACGCGAAGATTCAGCACAAGCTGCGAGGACAGAAGGAAAACACAAAGTTAGGCCCTCGACTGCTCGTAGAACCATCTAGGGAGAGGGCGGTATTGGGGTTACCCATCTTTGCTACAGTGCGAGGTGCTGACAGTGACTTTTGTTGGAAACGCTTGACATGAGCTGCCGACTCTAGGGTTAACGAAGTGAAGATCTCAAACAAGGCAAGCTACTGTTGGCGTCGAGTCCATGAAGGTCTAGGGTTTAGGGCTGTGCCTGGCCCTTTGGGGTTTGCATGCCTTCATTGTTCGGCTTCTCAGGTTGCTGGCAGGCTGCTAGTTTGGAAACCCTGAGGCTCCAAGCCTGCTAACAAAGCTTGGGAATTCGGGTCAGGTCACATGCCTGTGGGAGGTGTTGGGCAGAGGCGGCGACTTAGGGCTTGTGAAACGTTGAATTCGAGCTGTTGGGGTCCTGGCTGCTCGCCCTGAAGGACTTCATTCCCATCGGTGGAAAGGATTCCCGCGACACCAAGGGCCTCCGTGCGAAGTTGGCCAAGGGGGTTCCACTGGGAATTCGCTTCAAGCCCTTTGGCAAAGAGTGGTGTCGGTGTGAAAGAAACAATGCCGATGTCTCGTCTGTCCTTGAGGGGATACCTGCCTGGAAAGTGTTTTTCCTTCCAGCTTCAGCAGCAGGATGCCAGACCGGGCGCGTGCAGCTATCTAGCTATAGCTGCCACTTCAGGCCATACTTACATTGGGCATCCGCTGATCATCCACAAGCATCATACGGGTAGCACGGTAAGTACTGTAGCTGCGGAGCTGTATCGAGGTTTGGCGGAAAATCACTCAAGAAGAGGAGCAACTGCTGTGCATCCTAGCGACAATTCCGTAGTAGCAGTGGTAGTCGTGGCAGCAGCAGCAGGAGTAGTAGTAGTAGTAGTAGTAGTAGTAGTAGTCATTTATAGACAACTGTAGAGTCAGATGCCGGCGGTGTCGTCTCCGCCAGTCAGTGCATAGTTTTGCCTCTTGCAACCGTTTTTCGAAGGTATGTACAGGTTGAGG